AGTGTGTACGATCTGCAAAGCAAGCTTCCCAATTTTCGGTCTCAATGTTTGACGGGTTAAGAGCCTTTATTGAGAGGCTAACCGCATACATGAACAGCTAGTAGCATTCTAGGTTGAAAACTTCTCTGGTGTTTGCGAACGATGCGGACAGCATAGACCACACACCTGTAGCCGATCTTCACCAGCCCCAGTATCACATCTCTCAACAGCTTGTGCAGAAACTCTGCGTCGGCTTTGTGCACGGGGACAATCTCAACGACATCCTGGAACTACCACGTGCGACATTCTACCATAAAAACGAATGCACTATTGGCTGATTCTGTAAGATTGATGGTCCCACCAGTTATGTTACCCGCTTTGTACTCAAAATAGGATTGATGTGAATTTTTTCAGCCATGAAAGTCACCAAACGTTGAAAAACATTTAAACCAGAGATTATCATGCTTATGTATCGTAAGAACGCACCACTTAGATGCTCCTGTTAGGGATCCATTCCGCAGACGAATGTTTCTTTTCTATACCTGCGAACAAAGTTGTATGCTGAAGGTGATGTTGCGAAAGTAAAAATGCAGCAAAAAAGATGGAGTCAGCTGAGTAACGCCTTCAATCCTTTTAGATAGCCCGAGCTGCTTGCGTAGAAACCAGATGGTTTGGGCCCTATCCTACGCTACTGTCGCAGACAATTTGTCAAGCAGTATACGAATTGTCTTGCAGATGCGTTCGGCTGAATTTGTTGAACTTGAACAAAGGTTGGCGTCCCAGGTCCGGGTAGCCCTGACCACTGCACGATATTTCACTGTGGTCGGGGCTACAGTGAGGGGAAGAACAATCTTTCAGGGATTCAGGTCGTTCGTTAAGGGAGTTCATGAGTACCGTGGGGGAGGTAAATTTGTGTTCACTGAGTTTGGTGAGGAGCGTGAGTTCGGTGAGAGGTGTGAGTTTGTGAGTTCGATGAATTTATAAATTCGTGAGTGAGGCCATCAAAGTGGGTCAACACCTCCTAGACTAAGAAAGCCTCACCACTGTTTTTGCATGGCCGTGGCCGAACAAGAAGGCAATTGGGGCCGTGCTAAAGCGCGGTAGGCAAGGCTGCACGCGCGGTTTTACCGTATAGCAACAAGTTATTATTGATGCAAACGTGTTCATTTTCTTAAATGCCAACGGTGCACAACATTTCGGTTAGGGAGCTAATTTCTTGGACTGATAATTATTCCTGCATAAATTTATTGATGCAAAATGCAAGAACCTGGTAGGTGTTGTGGGCACCCTGGCGGCTCCCGAGCCCAAATGCCGGAATGCGAGGCAAAGGTGCCCAACTATTCCCACGTGGCGGCGACGTCACGCCAGCCACGCGCGCATCTGATCCGCCTTATCAAGGCGGATCACAGGCGCGGCGCACACGGAGTCGCTGCCTGGACTCAGGCGCCGTTGGTAACAATGTTAATCGTCTTGTCCATGTCCCATTAAATGCAGTTTCTTGTTGAAACCGTTGACTCCGTATTAATGCTCCGGACGGATATACAGCAAGGCATACCCGACCCAACCGTGGTATGCTAACCATGGTATGTTGCGCACTTGCAGGAATTTCAGGGGGTTTGGTCTCTTCTTTTGGTAAGCTTTTTTTCCCACACCCCGTCGTTCCTACCGTCGTTCCGTGCCTCCGTAGGGTCGGCGTTTGTTGAATTGGCGTATTTCTGACGGTTTGTTTTGTGACAGCGGTTATCGTTTTGCGCGGCTGTGTTAGTTTCTGAGGGGCGTTTCCGTTTTTGCGCTTGCGTTGCGCCTTTGTTGGTTTTAATTTTTTTTTTTTTTTTGGGGGGGGGGGGCGTTTTTTTTTATTTTGCTTGCAGGGAATGCTCACACAGGAGCAGGAAGCCGCAATGCCCGAAGCGGCACAAATAAATCTACTCACGAAGGTCACGGAGATGTGTGGCTCCGTGACATACTGAGCGAGCTGCAGACGTACCACCTTGCCTCCGGTGCCTCGGAAGTCTTCACCATGGACCGTATTGTCGCGCTGGCGTTGCAAGCAAGCGTCAGGTGCTGGTTGGGGTCACAGGCCCCCTTCACCAGCCTGGCGGACTTCGAGACAAGGTTTCGAGAAGAGTTCCTCCTTGCGGGCTACGCAACGCAGATTCTCCAAGAGCTCGAGGCAAGGACGCAGCACCCGGACGAAAGTATGTTCCGGTACGTTCGGGTCTTGCAAAGCTCTTCAAGACGGCGGACCCGAAGTCACCGGAGTTGGACAGAGCAGCTCGGGTCAGAAGACAGTGCCACCGAGGGTACCACGTCCAGCTCATCAACCGCACTTTTGAGACCCTTGAAAAGCTAGCCCGTGGTGCCCGCTTCGTCGAGGACGCTCTTCATGCCGAGCGGAACTGCGTGCCGCCGCCACCAGCCCAGTACGCGCTCGAACCGGCATGTGCATGGCGGGGCGCCGAGGCCTCCACGCATGTGGACTTTCCGAACGAGACCTCCCTTCCCCACCACGTCAACCAGGGGAGTTGGTGTAGCATGCATGGTGATCTCCCATGCGGAATAAGCGTGTGTTCGCCTAATTCTCGTCGAGAGGTCCCCGGAGGTCACAGCGGGGCCCGTGAGGGTTTCGGGCGGGGGTGGCCACTACAGGGGGGGGGGTCGTTGGCCGTGCCCTATCATAAGCTGGGGCCTAACGGAGATTACCTCCCAAGCGAACCACCTTCATCAGTCTGCTCCTGCAAGTGCTGGCAAAAACTGGCACGGTGCGGTCGCAAACCGGCAGCCCAGCGGCATTGACCCCCGCGGCAACGAAACAAGCCCTCCCCAACATAGCCAGTCGCAAATTTGGTGCAGGCCCTTCCATAGTGGTTCTTTACTTGATCACTGGAGGCTGTCCGGCGGGCACCTCGGTGCGGGTGGCCTAAGCATGCAGCAGTCGTCGGACTGCTACTACGCGTGCGAGCAGCCCGGCCATCACCGAAACCATTGTCGAAGACTTCTGGGCGCTACAAACAAGAGGTGGCATGAGATGGCGGCAAAGGGCCGGAACCAGAACAACCAGAGAAGCTACTACGGCCGGCGACGCTGAAACCAGACAGCCACTAGCCGACGGACGTTGCAGTCCCTGGGAGCAGTGAGGCCGCGGTACAGATTCCATCGGTATGTCGAATTCAGCCCGAGCCTATCATCATTGAACCGTGCATGACGATTTCACTGCTAGATTTTCCCATTGTTGGAATTCTGGATTCGGGGGCCGCTATCTCGCTCATAGGGGATTTCATTGTCGAACTCTGCAAAGCAAAAAAAAAAAATGAGCCTCCGGGAGTGCGAAACCCGTTTGCAGCTGGCTTTTGATACAGCTATGCCAGCTGAAGGAGCCGTGAGGCTGCAGATTTGGTTTAATGTAAAGAAGCGGCGACAGCTATTTCTTTATATGCCAGGACTCGTGGTACCTGTGATTTTGGGCCAAGATTTCATTACGGGCGAAAGCATGACGCTCGACTTTTCTGGTGGCAGGTACCGGCTGGGACAGAAACCGGAGCTGACTCCGTTTACCAAACAACAGGACTGCATCCGTTACCCGACCACTGCAGCCCACTTCACCATGCTGCCAAACGTCTTTTCTTCCGGCGTCGAAGAATCGTTGCGAAAGTGCCCTGCAAGCAGCCAGCAGAAGCAGGAGCTGCAAGCCGTCCTGGAGTCTTTCTCACCGATGTTCGCGGAAACACCTGGAAAGACTGACATTCTGCTGCACCGCATTGAAACCGGTGACGCGCCGCCTCCGTGGTGCAACCGTAGACAGATCAGCGTCCACAAAAGGGCACTCCTTGATGCGAGAGTCGAGGAAATGATCGACATTGGTTCAGTACGTGAATCGAAGTGCCCCTGGGCATTCCCCGTATTTCTCGCTCCGAAAAAAGACGGAACAGTCAGACTCTGTGTGGATTACAGGCGGCTTAACGATGTGTCCGTACGAGACAGCTACCGTTTCCCCAGCATTTCCTCCGTGATGTACGCCCTTGGTGACGCGACCGTGTTTACAACACTGGATTGCGCTCGCGGGTTTTTTTTCAGATGGAGATTCACCTATCAGACGTTCAAAAAACTGCTTTTATCTGCCACAGAGGGTTGTTCGAGTGCACCCGACTGCCGTTTGGCTTGCCTAACTCTCCAGCCAGTTTTCAACGCCTGATGGATGTTGTACTTGGGAACTGGAAGTACGAATTTGTCATGGCATAAATGAATCACGTGGTTGTTTTCACTAGAAAACTGGGGCAGCTAGGCTGTCATGTGTCACGTACAAATGAAATCCTTGACGAGCATAGATAGCGTCTCACTGCCCCCTTAAAAAGGGAGGAATGCTGCATCTCAGAGTGCTCCCGTGTCTTTACGCCATAAACATACCGACGCTGACGACACAAAAAAAAAAAAAAACAGCCGCGTGGTCGAGGCGCGAGACAGTCGAATGCTGCTGCGGCTGACGAGCACCGTTCGCTCCTGAAGCACAGATTTTGAAGAAAAAATATGAATTTTATCAATGAATTGTTTTAAATAGTATGGTAGACACTTACAAAAATGGTTCATCATCTTCCAAACAAATATAGCGCTCAAGCAAACCGCAAAAATGGAGAAACTTGCGAGCATATTGCTGCATTTCATTCGCCACAGTCCGGCACACGTTTTCTTTCCCATTCCTGTTTTGATTTTGGGCTTTGCGAATATAAGCCTAATGAAGATCTTGACCTACGAATACGTATATTTATATATGTTGATGAAGTCAGAAAAGCATGGCTGCCTTATTTACGTACCGTTAGTAAACCTTACCTCAGTCTAAAATATTGGCTGTAAAGAGGAAGCTGACCGCAGAATAAAGTTGCAGTATGTTCTAGGCCTTATTTTTAACTAATGGAAAATGTATAAGTGCCTTCTTATTTCGTTCATATTCTAGAACCTCCAGATTTCTGCAGTACATGATTACAAACATATCACAACAAATTGACGAATATATGTTGCATTTTCAGGTGGATGACAAGTTTCTTTTTCTAGATCGGTCTGGTGAGGTCAACTATTATCAATCATTGCAATTCCTGAAGGATGGAGCTCCAGGTTATGGAATACATTTTGGAGATGCAGATCTCGTGTTATTTGTAACAGGGTAAGCATGATCCGATATATCACTGTTTTATGTGAGATGAACGACGGCTTGAAAATATTCTGTTTCATTGAATAGACACAAAAATAAAAAATCATCATTTTTAAAGGGCGCCTCCAGGACGCGTGTTTCACAAAAACTTTTACTCTAACCCTGCCCATTAGGAAAAGGTGCTTAGCTGGCAAATCACTGCTTCTCATGACTCACTGGTTGAAGAGATGATTGACGTGTAGAACGAAGGGTTGTAAAATTGTTTGTGCGTGACGTGAAATCTTTTGTTCGACATAATTTTATGTTTGAGAAAGAAAAGTTCCGAATATAATCATTACTCCTTTAGGATCGCCATTTCCACTTTGATTTCAAACGAAAAAATCAAGGCTGCCGGCGTTTTCAATGATTATCTTGATACAACGCGTACTCGTTGAGCTCGTTTATTTTTATGAGTGAAAGTCAGTACGTAATCACCGGTGTGTTTAGAGAAATATCTTAACCAACGCAGTTTGCAAGAAACATCTGTCGCAGGTACGCGACTAAGGATGCGCTGTGGGGCTGACGGTTGTTTAGGAGGGTTAGCGTGAGTCAAGTGTCCTACTTGAACCATTTTGATTGATCTGACTTGATTCGTTCTTGTACGCTTGTTGATGCCGAATAAAGATGTCGGGTGCCGTAGAAGCGGCCCCGCTGCTCTTTGAGGGCCCCGGAGAGATCTGATGTAACGGGCGGATGTGACGTCACTTGCGAAGTGTTGCCCAGCTCTATTTTGGTGACCTAATATTTGAAGTGTCACCAAGAACCAAAAATATGTGACTAAAAGCTTGCCCTTCTTGCTTTTGTTCATGAAAAAAGGTTGCACTTGGAGCACTTAAAGGAAATAACGGTCACGCTCGACGCCCCCCCCCCCCCCCCCCCCTCCCCGGTCTTTCCCCTAAACCGGCCCTAAACCTATCTGCCTTGGTTGGAATTGTAATTGTTGAAAACATTGCCACGATAAATTATTTGCATTTTGCGATAGCACGCTCTTCTTTGGGGTGTGCTGCATCGAATTTAAAGGAGCTCACTCTATTCGTAAAATACGTTTTTTTTTTTGCTACCTGTAATGAAAATTAGAACCTTGTAAAATAATTCAGTGTATGATACGTATTCTGTTTGGAGAACTTAAACCTGTTAGCTTATTTTGTGGCGGTGGTGGTGAAATAGGTGGGGGATTGCTTGATAAAAATGATGATATATAAGTTAATTTATTGCTCGTCCATGCTCTTGGTGTGTTCCTTGTTCCTGTCTCTTTTCTTTGCTTTTGAACAATTTTGAAATTATACGCCACCTAGCTCATTCAAACATTTTTACTTTGCATCCGAGTACCAGATTTTCAGGACAGTAGTCCGCTCCCTGTTTAGAGACAGCTGGGGCATATTTCAGCTGAAAATGTATTTTTTAGAGTCCTAACTCGGTGCATAGTTTGAATTGGATGCATATTACGCACGCGCCAGTCCCCGCCACGTGGATACTTCGCGCGTAAATAAATTTTCATATATACCAAGCTTTAAGAATGCCGGCTTTATTAGCTAAGAACACTTGTGTAATCATAAAAACTCACGAACCCAATATTTCATTAAAAAACTTCGCAACCTCTCGTCATAATTATCGATCTCAGAAAACAGCGTTATGTAACGCGCACGTGTTGATGGTTCACACCGCTTAAAATACCAAAATTTAGAAATGAATACCTACCGACTGCAGTCCGGCAATGGTGATGCTTTGTAATTGTCATGCAAAGGCTGTTGAAGCTCGCATCAAAGGAAAATTAATGAAAAACCTATTTAAGCTAAACATAGTTTTTCTGTCTGGTCCGGCCTAGAAAGGACTTGGTCTACAAACCTCTCCCAGATTTTTTTTTCATTTTTGTACAATATTAGTACAGAATACATTAGTTTATACCAAGATACATCCTCAAGCATATTTTCTATGCACTACTTTGATTCTTTCACATTTGCCTGGGCCCACTATTGAAACACCAAGCAATACTTGGCAGCTCAGCTGCCCATGAAATAACATTCAATCAGTGAATAAATTAATCATTCAGTATTTGCTATAGTGTCAAAGAACAACCTATCACTCGTAGTGCTAGCGCACTTTAATAAAAATACACTTACACACGTACAGACAGACAGAACAAAAATTTTAAGTTCCAAGTTGCAACAGTGTCAACACGTTTGATACTAACATAACAGATTCAGAAAGCAGTTCAAGCTCCTCGACAAACAAGCACACAGCATAGACATGAAGGAAATATTACTATTTTAGGCAAGCATAAAAAATATATTACAGTGACTCAAAAGTACTTTTCAACCCTTTTCCAGCTCAATCACGTTTGCGACAAAGTGCTGAAATCTAGTGGAACCAGCGCAAAAAATCATGAAGTGTGTCAGAGGAGAGGTTATAAAACTCAACGGACCTATGAGTTGGGTATAATTGGCTAAAATTTCGAAATATATAAAATAATTACTCGAGTCGTATGGGCACACACGTAATCAAAAGACCCACTTTTGACAGCAATTGCTAGGTGAGTCAATAAAACAATGCAGCGTCCTGAACAAAAACTGGAAATCCGCTTTCGCTTGACGATGGTTCAAGCCCAGCATGTTAACGAGTTCAAGATGGCTTCGAACCGCCTCTTTCCGTGGGTTTGGTGATCCTTAAGCCTCTTGCCATTTTTAAGAATGATCAAGGACCTCTGCCCAAGACATTGAGTTTCTTTGCAATCGGGTGCGCTTTACACTGCCGCCGCAGAAAATAAATGTAACGTCGTTTTCATCGAGATGTCCATGTCCCAGACGTACCCCTTTAATTTTGAAAGAAAAGACCGAAGTTTTACTTTGATCCCAAACGAGTAGACAAGTAGGTCATATCCAGGTTCATTTCACGAACGTTACCGGAGGTAGACAAACCAAGGTGTTTTGATGATCGCGTGAATGGCTTCTTGCGATCTGCAGCCGATCACCCGGGAACCAAAAGCCTTGAACCTGCGATTAAATTTTTCGCGACCAATAATATGAGCATAATGTCGTCCGATGAGGGGGAGGGCTTTGTCGTCATGCCCGAAGGCACGTTTAAAGAAACAAAAAAAAAAAAAAAACAGACGTACTGAAAAATTAAGAACGGTCTTCAATCGTCCAGCGAATATGAAAGAATTAACCATCAAGCTTCTGTACCAACTTAACCTGTCCAATGTCGCTCTAGGAGCGAAGAAGGAAATAAATATCACGTTAAAGGTATTTTCCGCGGCAAAAAACATAAACCAGGAGTTCGTTTACGCACTATAGTGTTTGAGTGGGCCACATGGTCACCTGCAGTTTTTAGTATATTTGCAAAAGATCCTTGACTCCCCACATATTCTTGACCCCATGTGCGTCCCCAACTCTAAGGCGGTTAGTGGTTTTCTGAAGGTCAGTAACCCAGCCGGGTGTAGCGTATACAGCATGGATGTTGAAGAATTGTGTTATTCTATTCCCCACGACGATCACAAGGTTAGAGTCAAGGAGCGAACAATGGAACACAACGGCGAAAGCAACTTCAGGACGCAATGCGGGATCACAGTAGAAGACTTCCTCGAAGAACTGGTTGTGTATTTGAAATCCACACTTATAGGATGGCAGGGCAAGATGTTTGTACAATGGTCCGGAGCGTGCGTAGGATCGAAAGTAGCATCTGGGCTGAGCAACATTTTCTAAAGGTGGATCGGCCGGTATCTTGAACCCTGCTTGGAAAAGAACCTAAAAATGATATTTAGGTACGTGGTCGATTATATGGTATTCATCGCGAAGGCCAATTTTTAACAGACCTTCACGATGCGCTGAAAGTTTTCACGGAGGAAGATCTAGGACACTGTTTCTACTATGAGACCCCCAAAAGAACCTTATTCAGTTGTTGTATGTCCTCGTCGTCATGGAGGACGGTCATGTTTGGTAGTTGTACATTTCCAGAACAGCGGAGGGTCTACTCAACTTTCAATCAGCCCACTCCAAGCTCGTGAAAAAAGTCATTGCTTTTTCTGTCTGAGGTCAACATTAACATTCTCAAAGATTCACAAATTGAGTTCCAGCTTAATCTCCCGAATTCAGAGTATCAATGATTCGGAATTCGCTGAATCGGTCATCCCTTCAACATGCGAAAAATTGGTGATACACCTTAAAGCGTGTCCAAGGATCAAGCGAGATGACCTCGATAGAAAGAGACAAAAATGTTTTCAGTTCATGCCATACCGCTTACCTTAAGGGCTGATAAAGTCGCTTTGAGATTCGGTGTGTATGTTTTTTTTTTCGCCTGCAACAAGCTAAGCAGAGTATTCTCAGCAGTGAACAAACGCACGAGCAAAGGGAATCTAACGTCTTGCAGTGGGTGCAGCGTCAAACACGAGATGAAGTTCTTCCCCTGTGTAATAGGCGCGATATACAATATCCTAGCTGTTTTCCTATGGACGCGTATATACATCGTGCAGACCGGGCGTTGCCTGAATACACAACTACGAGAACACAGTTCTTTGAAAGGTACCGATTATTCACGCCCCACGATGCTTTTCTGAGATTCCGAATGCTATCCCCTTTTCTCCAACACGACAGTGATCTTCCGACACAAGGACTAACTACCTCAATAAATGATGGGGACATACTACATCACACAAAACCGAACCTCGTGCGTGAGCCTGTCGACACTGACTTATAGAAACCGCAAGACCAGCTTTATGGATTAGGGTAGCAGGGCTAGTTCTGTATGGAGTGAAAGTTGAAGTTCTCAAGGCCACGAAGGAACATGCGGGCGCGTGAGCAGCAGCATCATGTGTATGTTTTTATTTTATTAGACCGTTGCTAGGCAGTGCTTGTCGTGTTGTTTCTCGTCTTTCTCTCCTTGTCCAATTCTCACTAGACCTCATCATGACCTCTCACTAGCTCGCCCAATCCTTTATCTTGCTATGTTGGCAAGTCCGTAATCGACTTCACATTTTGAAC